CCGGCACTTTGGGGTAGGCACTGTATGCAGCGGCCATGAAATGACGAGGGAAGGTTCTTAAGGAAAACGAAGGGAAAGAATTAGAGAGATTTAATAACTGGGTTGAAGAAATGCAAGATAAGGGAATGTTTGGAGACCGTGAATGGGCTCCGCCGAAAGTGAGTGATTTAACGCTGTTTTTAAAGCAAGCTGCAAGGAGCGTTGAATAAGCGTTGGTTTTCCTGCGGGAGCTCTGGCTCTCTGAATCCAGCGCTGTAAAACTTGCTTGTAATCAGACTTTCAGTAAACTTTCTGTTGATTTTAAACAGTCCTCTCCTGTCTTCACTTCTCGTGCTTCCAACAAAAGAATCGGGTTATTTTCTAACATACCCAATATACGTGATTCTGATTTCTACGCTGACAGTTTCTGTGCTGTAGATTTCATTATGTACGTCGGTTATATGTCTTGTTTATTTTATGGAGACTTCCCCGCTGACAGTTCCTGTGCGGTGGATGTAGTGGTCCCTATGTGCACCAGCTAGAACGGTGCATGTTTTCCCCAACCAAAAACCATGGTTTAATAGGGATATAAAACATAATCAGGAAGAGACGAGGTTTTTAAGTCAGGGGACCAAGCGGAGTACAGGAAAGCCTGGTATGAGCTACAGAAGTTCATCAGAGCTGCAAAGAGAGCATACTTCCAAAAACTGGAGAGCTACTATATGAATAACAACATGCGCAGTATTTGGCAAGGAATTCCGGCAGTCACTAACTACAGTAACAAATCAACAAACACAGCCCCCCCAACATCAGTCACCATGAAGTGCTTAGAGAAACTGGTCCTGACACACATTAACCACATGGTCCCGGACACTGTAGACCCCCTCCAGTTTGCCTACCGCCCCAACAGATCAGTGGATGATGTGACGACTCTGGTTTTATTCTATACCCTGAAACACCTGGACAACAGCAGTATGTATGCTAGGATGCTCTCCCTGGATTACAGTTCTGCATTCAACACCATTTGCCCGGGCAGGCTGATTGGGAAGATGACGGACCTCGGTGTCCCAACTCGCACCTGTAACTGGATTCTGGACTTCCTGGCTGAAAGACCACAGGTGGTCAGAAAGAGAGGTCGGGTGTCTGCTGAGCTCACAATCAGCACAAGCTCACCGCAGGGCTGCTGTCTCAGCCCCAAACTCTTCACCCTGTACACCCACGACCGTGTCTCCAACCATGACACCACCACCATCATTAAATATGCTGATGACACCACCATTCTGGGCCTCAACAAAGGGGGAGATGAGTCGGGTTACAGAAGCTTGGTGAACAACATTCTTGTTTATGGAGAGGAGAATAACTTCATCCTCAATATAAACAAGACAAAAGAAATAATAGTAGACTTCAGGAAGAACCCCTCCCCTCTGCTGCCTCTGACCATCAAAGGGACTGAGGTGGAGAGGGCTGACAGCCACAAGTTCCTGGGCCTGCAGGTGACATCTGACCTGAGCTGGTCACTAAACACAGCTGCCACAGTGAAGAAAGCTCAGCAGTGGCTATACTTCATCAGGCGGCTCAGAAAAGCTGGGCTAAACAGTCACCCTCTCATCCAGGCTTATAGAGGACTGGTAGAGAGCATCCTCACTACTGGCATCACAGTCTGGTATGGTAACACCACACAGGCAGAGAGGAAGGCTCTTCAAAGGGTCATAAAGACTGCAGAGAGGATCATTGGACCGCCTGCTATGGACACAGTATGCACACAGCGCTGTCGTAAAAGGGCAGAGAACATAATTGGGGATCCACGCCAGCCAGCTCACACTCTGCTTAGACACAAAAATTGCGCCTACAGCCTGAAGCCCAGCAGGGCGGACAGTATCACACACAGAACTAGACTTCACAACATCTTTTTCCCTGCCGCAGTAAGACCAATGGCAAATACAAAAATGTGAGAATATATGTGCAATAACCCCTTACTAGACATGCGCAATAATAATACAGAAATGTTCCACAAGGTATTTTTGTAAGAGCATCTCATCAACAGTGTTCTCACCATTTTGCCACATTTCAGGCCTCCAAACATAAAGATATAAAACTGTCATTTTTTGTGAAGAATCAACAACAAGTGGGACACAATCATGAAGTGGAACGAAATTTATTGGATATGTCAAACTTTTTTAACTAATAAAAAACTGAAAAATTGGGCGTGCAAAATTATTCAGCCCCCTTAAGTTAATACTTTGTAGCGCCACCTTTTGCTGCGATTACAGCTGTAAGTCGCTTGGGGTATGTCTCTATCAGTTTTGCACATCAAGAGACTGAAATTTTTGCCCATTCCGCCTTGCAAAACAGCTCGAGCTCAGTGAGGTTGGATGGAGAGCGTTTGTGAACAGCAGTTTTCAGTTCTTCCCACAGATTCTCGATTGGATTCAGGTCTGGACTTTGACTTGGCCATTCTAACACCTGGATATGTGTATTTGTGAACCATTCCATTGTAGATTTTGCTTTATGTTTTGAATCATTGTCTTGTTGGAAGACAAATCTCCATCCCAGTCTCAGGTCTTTTGCAGACTCCATCAGGTTTCCTTCCAGAATGGTCCTGTATTTGGCTCCATCCATCTTCCCATCAATTTTAACCATCTTCCCGGTCCCTGCTGAAGAAAAGCAGGCCCAAACATGATGCTGCCACCACCATGTTTGACAGTGGGGATGGTGTGTTCAGGGTGATGAGCTGTGTTGCTTTTACGCCAAACATAACATTTTGCATTGTTGCCAAAAAGTTCGATTTTGGTTTCATCTGACCAGAGCACCTTCTTCCACATGTTTGGTGTGTCTCCCAGGTGGCTTGTGGCAAACTTTAAACGACACTTTTTATGGATATCTTTAAGAAATGGCTTTCTTCTTGCCACTCTTCCATAAAGGCCAGATTTGTGCAGTATACGACTGATTGTTGTCCTATGGACAGAGTCTCCCACCTCAGCTGTAGATCTCTGCAGTTCATCCAGAGTGATCATGGGCCTCTTGGCTGCATCTCTGATCAGTCTTCTCCTTGTATGAGCTGAAAGTTTAGAGGGACGGCCAGGTCTTGGTAGATTTGCAGTGGTCTGATACTCCTTCCATTTCAATATTATCGCTTGCACAGTGCTCCTTGGGATGTTTAAAGCTTGGGAAATCTTTTTGTATCCAAATCCGGCTTTAAACTTCTCCACAACAGTATCTCGGACCTGCCTGGTGTGTTCCTTGTTCTTCATGATGCTCTCTGCGCTTTAAACAGACCTCTGAGACTATCACAGTGCAGGTGCATTTATACGGAGACTTGATTACACACAGGTGGATTCTATTTATCATCATTAGTCATTTAGGTCAACATTGGATCATTCAGAGATCCTCACTGAACTTCTGGAGAGAGTTTGCTGCACTGAAAGTAAAGGGGCTGAATAATTTTGCACGCCCAATTATTCAGTTTTTTATTTGTTAAAAAAGTTTGAAATATCCAATAAATTTCGTTCCACTTCATGATTGTGTCCCACTTGTTGTTGATTCTTCACAAAAAATTACAGTTTTATATCTTTATGTTTGAAGCCTGAAATGTGGCAAAAGGTCGCAAAGTTCAAGGGGGCCGAATACTTTCGCAAGGCACTGTAAAAATTACTGCAGGTAGTGCAATGTAGGCCTAACTTCACAAAGGTTTATTCAGCTACTGTACAATGCTGACAAAATACTAAAGTACAGCTAAAGCTTATATATGTAAGGCTCCTGACAAAGGATCTCCCAGTTCTCCCAGGTCATTTTTCACAGAAACACCTTTTTATATTACACATATAATAAAAAAACAAAAAAAACATTTTGAGTTGGCTATTCACAAAGGTACAACACAAAATGCTAAAAGCTTGAAGGAGTCATTGAAGCTGATTATCATCTCTGTTCATGAGTCTGCTATATGCAACTCATGGTGCACGGTTACAGGAAACACTTGTTTTAGGTTAATGTTGCCAGGGAGGTTCGACCAGTTATTAAATCCAAGAATTCACTTAATGTTTTTCCACCTGCATTGGGTGTGTTCAGAAAAGACACAAAATATTATAACTGTGTGTCATTAGCTAAAGCACATTGTGTATATATGTGTAACTTTGATGAAGGTCATGTTTTATGACAAATCAATGAAACCAGGTCATTCCAAAGGGTTCAGATACTTTTTCTCACCACTAAACATGCAGTACATGCCTGCAATAGTTAGTCATTTATCTTAAAATGTGAACTATTTATAGACATACACACCACGAGAGGAGGGAGACATCTCTGTTCAGGAGAGCTTTTGCTGCAGACTTACTGTTTTAACTCTACCACACTGTTACGCATCAAGAATCGTTACTCTTCTATAAGCGATATAACCACATGGGCTCAGGTAGACTTTGGCTCACCTTTGTCAGGCACTACAATACATAGTTAATCCGTAAATGATGCTTAAAACTGTGCTGTGCCAAAAGGAAGCCCTATGTCAACAGTGGCCAGACGGCGACTGCTCTGGGCTCAGAGGCATCTGGGATGGACCATCACACAGTGGAAACATGCACTGTGGTCAGACCAAGCACTATTTCAGGTCTTTTTGGAAGGAATGGACGCCGTGTGCTCTGGACCCAAAGACAAAAGGACCATCCAGGCTGTTACTGCTGTATTGTTTTCAATGTAATATTAGGACACAGATGATATTAATGGCAGGAGCTATGATGCGAGATTGACTCTATTGCTATGTAAAATGAGTGAAGGCAAGGAGTTACTGGATACCTCTGACCCCATCCTGATATACATTAGATCTTTGCTTTTCTGTAAAATACAGTGGAAAAGCAAAGCAGAACCAACCTCCCTTGCCCTAAAAGTTGATTTTATAGGAAGTTCCAGGTTACTAGTCATTATGTACCTGTAAGGAAAAGAGGCTTTTATTTTTTTATGTATGTACATATATTTATATATATACATATATATATATATATACACACAGTATGTGTAGATGGAGCCCTTACCAGTTGGTATATTTGGGAAGCTTCTTGACCATCCCGTCCCTCTCCAGACATGCCAGAATGTTGGCCGTTTCCTCCGGTGTTCCTGTCACTACATGCACGTTGCTGGGCTTACATTCTTCCAGTGCTCCCTTCACAAACTCAGCTACTGCTGGGGGCAGCGAGGAAGAGGAAGCAAGGGCCCGAACCCAGACACTTGCCCCAAGACTACTCTGCCTGGAAAAGGAAGAGGATTTAAGAGATCGTTCACTTTTTTTGACTCGTTACTACTGACCACATGGAATTGAACAGTGGATTGTACAATTACTCCTGTACATAAACTAAACTACTTTTTGGAGATGACTACACAAACAACTACACTGTCTGTAATGTTCAAGTATTGAATATTAATAATTTTCCCCATACGCAGCCAAAGGGTTACATAAAATTGGTGAGCTGATACTAAAGCAGTCATCAACACAGGGATACGATGATTTCATTTAATAGTAGGAGATCATTGAAGCAATTTAAATCTACAACACTCATGAGTGGAGCCAAGGGGTAGCTCTCACCAATGAGTAAAAGCCAGTCTGATAGTCACTCATTACTTTAATAGACCTACACTGTCCTACTAGTCAAAAACCAGCAGCTAATTTTGCTTGTTTGCTTGCTTTGGCTGTTGTTTCATCAATCCAGGTGTTCCGTCAGATTGATTTATGCCCCTCCCAGCTGGCTGGACTGGGTGTGTAATTAAATGTACATTATGCAAACTCATTCATGCAGGTAGTCACGTAAATCTGGTTGTACAAAGAGCACGTGCAACAGGCACGCTGCTGTAGTGAGGAAAGTCTAATGGATTAAACTTTCTCTAAACAGGTGACTATTCCATACCAGAGCAGCTTACTATGACCAGACTCCAGATGTGCTGAAAAGGCCAACTTGACAAACTGTGACAGACAGAATTTTATAACCTTGGATAACTTGGATTTCCTAACCACTTGGGTGGCTGTATCTTAGGCTGTAGTACTCACAAGAATGATCCCCTTTTGAGTATATGAAGGAAAAATGTCACATGAACAAAAGTGTAATGTCATTTGGATTTTCACAAACAAAAAGAGCTTTTGACATAAAAAACAGTTTCTCCCCTTTGGCCTTTTATTGGACAGCAGAAGCGTGTAGCCATGCTAGCAGTTCTGCAAGGCTGCATTCAGACAGAGATTTGCCCTGCATAAAAAGGTCAGTGGTCACAAGAGCAGTACAGACATGAGATGACAGTGACCTCCGACTGGTGACCACCAAAATCTTATCAGTTCATCCTTAAATCCAAGTGGATGTTTGTGCCACATTTTAGGATATTCTTATAAGATGTTCCAGAGATACCGAGAACAGGACAGACAAACAGACAACCCAAAAACATAGTGGCAGGGATGTCGCTCTTTGCAAGTTGGCTCACTCTTATGACGTTATGTTCATGTAGCTCCCCCCCTCCAGGGGGGGCCAGGCTCAGTGCCAGCATCGGGACTCATTAGGTAGCGTTCCAGTTTGCTCTTTTCTTTATGCCTTTCAGTGAGAAGGAAGGCATCTGCATCAGGGCTTTGCTGTTCACAGAAACTACCCAAAGATTTTCAGTGTTTTTTTCCCAGTAGGAGAGGTGGTGTTGCAGCAGCTCCTCCTTCTGCCCTGCTTCTTCTGTTCCAGCTGAAGGCCCTACTTGGGATTGACGTGGGCCATACAGTGGTGTGAAAAAGTGTTT